GGGAGGGGGCGGGATGAATCACCGCGGGGGGAGGGCGCGGCCGCCCAGCCTTTGCCGCAGCGGCCGGGAGGCGCCCGCCGCACCGGCCTCTCGGGTGGCGCAAGGCCGAGGCTTCTGCGCTCGCCTGGGGCGGGTGGTCTGGGTGTGTGTGACCCGGTCGGACTTCGGGACCTGTCATTATCGAGTCTGAGAAAGGTCATCCCTGAGATGCACAAGGGGACTTAGCGGGCAGTTTGGGGATGGGCACCTTCTCTAAACTATGGAGGTCATCCTCACGAGTTCCAGGGGGCTAGGCTGGGACGTCTAAGTGAGCTACCCCAAAAGGTCTGACACCTAGGCCTGGAGGTCACTGTACCAAGGGGGCATGAGGCGGAGGGTTCGGACTCCATCTACTGTCCCAGACCCCACCCAAGCAGGAGGAACACCGAATCCAAGCCAGAGATGCTGCTCTGGGGTGTGGAGACACGGTGTTTCAGGACCCTTGGGGAAGCGCTCCCGGCCACCCCGCTGTCTCTGACGTCATCTGTCCCTCTCTCTGCTGTCTGTCCAGCTCCCTTATGCACAGGGAGCTCACTCCTGCCTCGGGGCCTTTGCCTCGACCCACTCTCTCCCAGGTGACCCAGGTCACTCATTCCCTCCTCTCCTGAAGCTCTTGACTTCAGTGTCACCTTGATCTTCTGTGTCCATTCAGGCTACATTGCTTCTCTCGCCACAGACTTGACCTCCTTTTCCTCCTGTGTCCTTGTTGCTACCTAGCGCTACGTTCTTCTTTCACATGGTTTATCTGTTCGGTACCTGTGTCTCCAACCATGACACAGACCCCCCCAGGGGGAGGCCGCTGTCCTGGGCACCACTGTGTCGCACCTGGAACTGTGCCTGGCACTGCAGGTACTCAATGTAGATGCCACTGCTTGTTAGATCCTCCTGGTTTGCTGACTCTGAACTCACTAGTGGGGTGTGAGTCTTGCTTCCCAAGACTTTCACAGCGAGTTTGATTACACTCACTTTACACATAAGGAAACTTAGGGCTAAAGGGTCTGGACTTCTGCCCATCAGTGGTCAGTGGCTGTGAGACCCATAGATTCTGCCAAAGGGAGAGAATAGGAGCCCTTGAGAGCCCTGAGCTCTCAAGACCGGGCTGGGAGAGTGACGCTTGGCTGGAGGTGGCTGCCCGGGTCCTACTTTCCAGTTCTGGTTGGGGTAAAGTCCCAGAATTCCCCTGACCCAGCATCCTGTGCCAGCCCAAGAGTATGGGGCATGTCCAGGGCAGAGGGGCAGAGATCCAGGGACACCAGACACCTTTGTGGTCTGGGCTTTTACGCCAGCACCTCCCGAGCTGTGAAATTCCCCTGCAGAAAATAACTGCCTCGCTGTTCCCGGCTGTCCCCTGGTGGGGGATGGTAGGTGGTACCACAGCGAGGACAGGCCTTAGCAATGGGCAGCGGGTAGCCCCTACAGCCCTGCAAGCTGCTTGGGCATCTTCTGTGGGTTTGGTCCTGACCTACACACAGAACCAGTATTAACTCATTTAGTTCTTCCTACAAGGTGGGTACTGGTATTATGAGTAATTTACATGTATGGGAAACTGAGGTACTAGGTGGGCAAGTGGCCCCGATCACATAGCTAGAAGGTAGGAGGGGCCAGTGAGTTTTAGTCTGCCATGTGGCTTGCCCAAGCGCTCCTGTGACCTTTCCCTCGGGTCCTACATGACCAGGACTTGGCCTCAGCCCATTTCCTCATCTGCACCACATGACTCCAAACAAACTCCACCCAGGTGGGCCGAGGGGGACCGGCACCTTGCATGTAAATAAAGAGACCCAAGGCCAGGCCTGGAGTCTCTGCCTCCCTGCCGGGTGGCTTTAGGCATCTTTGTTACCACCTGATGGAGCCGCTGTGAAAAACACCACCATCGTCTCTGGGCACAGCACTGCAGACACACTTATTGCTCACTACTTATTTTTCTTCTCCACTTGTCCACAGTAAGCATAACATCGCTTGAATACTTACTCTGTGCCAGGCCCTGGCACATTTATGAACTCCTTGAATCAGCCTAACATGGTCCCTGGGGAACACTGTCAGCAGAATCCCAGTCCTGCACCAGCCCGTCAGAAACTGAGGCTCAGCGTCCTCTGCACTCCCTTTAGTAGCAAGCTCTCCAGATTCTTGTGCAGCGAAAGCATGCAAACCACTCCCTTAAAGCAACCCTGAGGGTAATGAGGTGTTATTGTGTCCGTTACGCAGAAGAGGAAACTGAGGTTCAAAGACACTGATTTGCTCCGGGTTACATGATCACTGGTAGCAGTTGAACCCAAGCCACCAAGAACCAATTTGTCCTTGGAGCCCCTGCTTGGACTTTGATGATGCTGGGGGGATTCCCTATCGCCTCAATGCCCACAGCCCCTGCAAATGGACAGATGCTTCCTTCCTGCCAAAGCAGGATCTGAGAGCCAAGGGAAGCCCCCACCCACTCCCAGGGCCCCACGACCACAGCCACAGCCATTTCCAACCCTTTATTGGAGCTCTGTCAGCCCCAAATAAATATAATACATTAAACCCAGAGCTGAGGGAATAGTGCACCCCACGGGGTGCCCCCCCACAACCCCAGCTGGGCAAAATAAGTTAGTGGGGGGCCTGCCAAGGGCCAGGCCAGCTCCCTGGCCAGACAGGTGATGGCAGCTGGACTCGCACACGCTGGTCTAAAGTGCATCTTGGTTGTGGTCCCCAGTTCTGTGTGGCCCCTGGCCAGGCCACAGGGAAGGGGTGGGGGCAGTAGGAGGCTCCCGGCGCTCACACCATGCCAGCAGTGGCCGCCGGGGCTCTGTGTGTCCTTCTGTCGGTTTCGGGGGGCAGCTGTGTGGCCAGGTATCCTCAGGAGAAGCTGTCATCGGACCGCGGCTGGGTGTCAAAGGGAGGGTCTGAGACTGTGATGCCTTGATGCAGCTTCTCCAGCGAGAACTTCATCTGCCGGGAGGAGGTGGGCAGCGTGAACATCGGCACCCGCAGGATGACGTCGCCCACCCCAACCCGCAGCTGAGAGGCGCCCCTGCCCCAGGTCACTTTGTGAGAAGAGCACAGCCTTGCTGGGCTTCCCACAGGCAGCAGACGATGGGCTTAATGTGAGCTTGGTACCCAGACGACCTGGGTTCAGATCTGGACTCTACTCCTTACTGAGTGACCTTAGGCAAGTTCCTTCGCTGTCCTGGGCCCTCATCTGAAGCATGGGTCAGCAACACCCTTGCTTCATGGGATTCTTTCAGGGGTTTAAAAACACTGGAACCTGCCTTGCAGTAAGTGCTCAATGCACGTTACCTATTGTTACTTTCCCTTCATGACCCTGGGTAAATTCAGGGACCTGTACCCCGGCTGCCATGCACCTCCTACCTATCTCTAAAATGGGTAACAAGAACATCCCAAGGTTAGCTGGGAGGCTCAGGCCCTCAGCACGCTTGGCACTTAGCAAAGCCCAGCTCTAGCACTGCCCGGTGTGCACCTGCTGTTGTCATTCATCCGTGAAGCCAACTCTGTACCCGCTGCGATCTGAGGGACAGGAAAGTCATCAGAACTTAACTCAGGGTGGGGATCCCTGCCTTGCCCTTCCTCTCTGTGAGTGATGGCGTTCCAGCCTTAACTCCCTTCCCACCCTGGCCTCCCCAGCCCTTGCAGCAGGACCATCTCCCTGTGTGCACGGTGAGGGTTTAAGGAGGCCCCTGCCGTGAGCCTCAGTTTCAAGAAAGAGGGATTTTCACCATCACCTGCCGCTTCAGCTCTGCTGCTCTCAGGAACCCAGTCAATGCTGGGCTCTCCCTAGGTTCCCACCCCCACCCCCACCCCGGCACTACTCCAGCACCCCACTTTTGCTCCGGCCAAAGTCCTCTCCATGGGGTGACAATATGTGTTCACTGTGTACCTGGCACTTTCCTAAAATGTTAACACATTTTTTCCTCATAAGAGATAACATCAATTATGACCCTTCAAGCAGAGGAGGTGGCCAAGGCTCAAATGGTAAAAGCGCTTACACGGGTCACATACCAGAATTTGAACCCAGCTGTCCGCACAGATGCTGTCCTTGAGCCACATGGGGTGTCTAGGTAACCCCCTCTTGGAGATGAGACTTCAATATCCTTCAGAGAATCTCTCTTTCCCCTCAGATCATGTGATCCCTTCATCAGCCCAAAGTGGGCTGGGGGAACAGAGACTAAGCTTAGCCTGCCCCTACCCACTGGGATTGGCCCCAGAAGCCACTGAGGGAGAGCTCTTTCCTTCAAATGCCAGCCTGGAGCTGCAATACCGTTTTGGTCATCCTGACGGAACTAATGCCCTTAAATAAAGTCACCTCTGGGGATCAGCAGAGTCAAGAGATGGATTCTTACTGCCACTGAACAGCTGGATCCAGCCGTGCCTGAAGGGAGACCTCTAGGACTTTTCTCCCAGATCCGAACCAATAAATTCCCTCTTCCATCCCTAACTTCCCTGGCGGCCCCTAAGGCCAGGACTAAACAGCTTCCTCATTTACAGAGGAGGAAGGCGAGCAAGAGAGGGAAAGGCACCTGAACCCAGGGGTCCCCTCCGCCCGGCCAGCAGCCGTCCCTACCTCATCCAGGAGCTCCACAGAAGCCCGCAGGATCTGCCTCCACTTGTGCGCCTCCACACTGTGGAACTGCTTCTGCAGGGCCAGGATCTCAGCCCACTCTGTGGCCGTCTGGGGGAATTTGCTGTGGGGATGCAGAGCCTGAGTGGGGCCTTGGGCTCCCCTACCCGGCCCAGCCCCCAGCCACGCAGGCTGCACGCTCACCCCTTGGCCAGGGCCAGGCTGTGCCAGGACTCGATGGTGTGGGCTGTCCTCTCCAGGGACCAGAGGCGGTAGAAAAGAAGGGCGTTGAGGGCAATGAGGACGATGAGGCTGCGGACAGTGGACAGGGGTCAGAGGTCAGGGGTCAGGGGTCCTGGCGTTCAGTGCTCCCACAAGTCAGGCACTGAGCTCGGGCTCTCCCCTCCCTCCACAACAATGACACCTTGAAGGGAAGCATGATCACACCCCGCCCCCTTCAAAGGACAAAACAGACTCAAGAGAGGATGGGAGACATCCTGGGGGCACATGACCTACAAGCAGAAAGGCCAGGTTCAAATCCAGGGCTGTCTGATGCCCACACCCTTCACCGCCACACCAGGACACCTCCCGGGGGACTGTGGGCATGGAGGAGGAGGAGGCTGCAGGGGCGTCAGCCTAGGGGCGGGGCAGTGCGGCATGCGCACCCTACCTCACACAGATCCTGCCGAGGCAGCAAGGGGGAGACGAGAGAGATGAGAGCCGGCCAGCCCCCCTCCACCCTGGTGGCCCTGAGCCCACAGGCTCCATGGCCTCTCATAGGCCGCTGCTCTTGGGAAACTGAGACCCAGAGAGCCTGAGGGTGTGGCCGACCTGCCCCTCCCAGAAGCGCACTCACCCCCACTTCCCCGGAGCGCGCACCCTCCCAATCTGTGGGCCTCCGCACGCCTCGGCTTCCCAGCCAGGTCTCAGCCCAGCATCCTCGCCTCTGCCAGGAAGTGGCCCTGGCTGCCATCCAGGGCTTAGGAGGAAGCCTGCACTGCCTCCCTGCCTCCCCACCCTGGCCCCAGTCCCTCTGGCCTGGTGTCAGGTCCGCCTCCCCTCAGAGCTACTGGTCACTGCAATGTCCCCACCATCACTCAGTTTAGGGCTGAGCACAGAAACACAAGTGAACCATACAAAGAAATGTTACTTTTTTTGCCAGTCTCTCCCCATTCACCAAGCTAATTCCACATCCTGAAGCACCTGTTCCTCCAGAAACCTTCCAGCCTCCGCCCTGGCGGGAAGGGCCCCTGCTCTTCCAGCAGGAAAGACTTCTCCACCACAAACTGGGTATCTACGCTGTCAGGAGCTCTGCTGGGCATGTCCCAGACATCCTCTCACGTAATCCTAACTGGGAGGTGAGCCCACACTCCCAAGCAAGCAGAGAGGCCCAGGGAGGTCAAGATCACACAGCCAGCCCGTAGATCCAGGCCGTACTCACACAATGCTGATGAGAACCAGGGCGCTGGGGATGCCTGCCCCAGGGCCCTGGTCCATGGACGGCTCTGAGAAACGGGAGCTGAGGGAGCCTGCGGAATAGCAACTCAGGGTTAGAGAGCCACACCCCAGGTGAGCCTGCCCCAGCACCCCCAGCTCCTCCATACCCCAAAGGAACGCACCTGAGGTGTGCATGCCAGCCCGGGCGCAGGGGTCAGGGTCTGGGTGCTGGGGCCCGTCACCGTGACCCCTCCAGCTGAGGGGCCGCTTCCGCCTCCGCAGGCCTGACAGCAAGCCCCGGGCATCCTTCCCGCCTTCCTCCAGGGACAGCTTCTCGGCCTTGGCTAGCTCTCGCTCTGGGGAAAGCAGAGAGGGCTCTGGATGTCTGTACCCAGCCGGGCCGCAACCTTCCTGGCCCCGGCCGGCTCCTGGCCCCTACCCAGGTGGTGGAAATAATCTTCAATGCCACTCCATGAGTTCTTCTCAATGAGGGACTTGACAAGGCTCCACGGCTGCTTCCGGTAGCGGATCTCTGAGGACACCCTGGGGGCAGGGAGACAGGATCAGGAGCTAGGGTCTGCCCCGAGCCCCAGGGAGGGGCTTTCTATCCTCTGTTTCAGGGAGGACCCTCTGCTGCTCACAGACAACAGACCAGCTCTGCACCCCATGGCTTCCCGGCTCCCCACTCCCCCACATGCCGGCTGACGCACCTGGCCCCTTGTCCACCCGTGCAAGTCTCGTGGCTGCCCGGGCACCATCCTCCTCCCTCACACCGATTTCTCAGCCCAGACCTCACCCCTGAACCCCTTCTTCCATCTGGCTGCTGCACCCCAACTCTACATGCCAGGTCCCCAACTCCACTTGGCAGGTCTAGGAAATAGTTCAGCTCCACATGTCCCAAACTGAGCTCCTGATCACGCTCCAGGCCCCTCTCCCCCACCCTCCCTGTCCTGGTTAATGGCAGTTCCATCCCGCAGTGGCTCAGCAGGACACCTTGAGCTTGTCCCTGCCCGCTGCCCTTTCCTTCCTTCCTGTTCAGAAGTGAACCCGGCCTCTCAGCAGACCCTGTCTGCTCCACCTACAAAACCAGCCCAGAAACTAACTTTTCTCCCTCCACTGTGCTGGACATCACAGCAGCCTCCCTATGTCCCTGCCTGCCTCAGAGCCTTTGCACTGGCCATCCCAAGTGACCTCTCACCTCCTTCAGGTTCTTACTGAAATATTCTCAGGGGACCATCTCCGACCAGTGTACTCAGCGTAAAACCCTCTGCTAGCCCACTTGCCCCCAATTCTTTTTTTTTTTTTTTTTTGGTACCAGGAATGGAACTCAGGATCTCGTGCTTGCCAACAGGCACTTGTGCCCCTGAGTTATATCCCGAGCCCCACCCATTAACCTGCTGTGCTTTTCTCCAAAGACCTTATTGCCAGGGAACACTCACATAATCACTTTTTATTGGCCGATTCCCACTGAGACCAAGATCTGGAACAGAATGGCCACACAATAGGTGCTCAATAAACAGCAGAACAACCGAACTGTTCACCTACTACTCACTCTATCACAGTTCGAACACGCCCTGCAGGCCCAAGAAACTGACCCCAGGGCCCCTTCGTCTACCCTGTGCCATTCTCAGTTCAGCGGCGCAACACTTCTGTTCCTCTGCCTGGTGGGAACCAACACTCTGCTGCCGACTATGGGTGGCGGGCAGGGAAAGGGCCCTCCAACCTTCAGGCAGGCACCCAGCCACTGCTCACCGGAGCCGGGCCTTGTTCCGGGCCAGGCCCAGAATGCAGTAGCGGTGGGCGGTGTAGAAGTAGTCCTGGTAGGGAATGCCCTGCGTCAGCACCTCCGAGTCCACCACGCAGCCGCCTGCCTGCGGGCCGCGCCGGAACAGCGTCTGCAGGGGCACACAGGAGGGGGCAGATCAGGGCTGCCCCCATGGCCACTGCTCCTGCTCCGCCACCGGCCCGGCTGCCCTACTGGCCCACCTGTGTCTCCACCACCGAGGCACTCTTGGGACCCAGGGGGTTGCTGATGGGGATAGTGTATGTCAGCACCCGGCGCTGGTGGCACTTGCTGTCCCCACTCCAGGGGCTCAAGGTCACATCTAGGGCAGAAAGGAGCGGAGTGAGAAAACCATTCTCTGGTCCTCTGCCCTCAGCAGCAGGAGACTCAGCCTTTCTGGAGGGTTTCGATTCTCCACAGGCTCATTCCAAACCCCCGCCCCTCCTCCGTGTCCCTACCCTATCCACCCCACGTTCCGTTTAAGAGCTGAAAACTTGGGATGTTGCTGACAATCAGAGCCGGGACCTCTCTCAGAGCTTCAAATGCCTCTGACCCACCTCTCCGCTCCTGAAGCCTCAGTTTCTCCTTCTGTGTTAGAACTGGCTTCTCCCCTGAGCATCAGACCTAGGGACCTGTGACCTGAACATCTTTCCTGGGAAGTCCTTGGATCCTTCACACCTCCCAGGCCCCACATTGGGGAGATTGGCCTCAGTATCTCCCCAAACCTATGCCTCTTGGGTCCCCCTTCCAAGGGTGGCCTAGTTTCCTCCCGGCCCCCACTGGAGCCCCCTGGTCTCACCTCCCCTGGTGTGTCAGCTCTGCTGCCTGTGCAGGTTTCCGGAGCACCACCCGTCCCAGCCTCCCCCAACCCCCCGGGGCTCTATCTCAGACTCTACATATGGTCCAGCCTTGTTCTGAGTCAATCTACCTAATCTGCCTAGCGAAGTCCCTTGCTCCCAAGTGCCCCCAGGAGAGAGTCTGATCTCCTCTGCTGGATGTGCCAGTCCTGCCAGTACATAAGCACAGTTCTGTGTGAACTGCATGCAACCCCACACAAGGCACAACCTCACTGATCTGCATTCGTTTTACTTGGTTCCTTTTCATCAACAGAGAAAGAAACGGACAAACCCCATCCGACCAGCCCCTCCCATGCCCCAACCTCCTTCTCAGCCTCCCTCAGCTGGGCCTGTGTCAATCCCTCAGCCTCACCTGGAGCTGTAGCTTTCCCTCTCCACACCTGGCCCTGCTGGCCACCCCCGAGGGATCTCTCCCAGGGTCTGCCTCTCTCCCTACTCGCCTCCTTTCCCTGCCTCCCTCAGTTCCTCCTTCAGCTCTTAGTTCTGATTTCACATCGTCCCAGCCGCCAGGGCTCTTAGATCACAGCTGACACCTGCAGCCCACCCTTAACTCACACCGCATCTGTAAGAGACAGTGTTTTCCTCTTGGGGTGTCTGGAGGGTGCTAAGACTTGAACCCTGGGCCTGTGCATGCTAGGCCAGCCTCGTACCTCTGAGCTACAGGTCCAGGCCTTAATATTGGTATTATTTGAGCGTATTACTGGCTGTTCTCACTGTATTCTGTGCACGGCTCATGGGCCTCCGAGCTCCGCACAGGCCTGATAGAGCAGACTTTACATGTGTGATCATTAACTTGTCATTGTTGTTTGGCAGTACTAGGGACTGAACCCACGGCCTTTGCACTGGGCTACATTCCCAGTCCTCCTTTATTTTATATTTTGAGACAAGATATAAGTCACTAAGTTGCCTAGGGTGGGCTTGACCTTGGGATCCTCCTGCCTCAGCCTCCCAGGGTGCTAGGATTACAGGCTTGTGTTACCACATCCATCTCATTAACTTCTATTTACTAAGCACTTACTAGACATTACTATCTTGGGCTCTTTTCTAGTATTAACTCTTGCAGTTCTCAGTCTCTGAGTAGACAAGCATTATGAGCATACACCCCCATCATCCAGGAGAAGAAACTGAGGCTGAGGCTGAGAACCTAGCCCAAGGTCACTCAGCTAGTAAGAAGCTGAACCACTTCTGTTCCCACAGGTACCAAACGCCCCCGCCACGCACACCACGCCAGCTGGTGGCCACCTCCTGTCTCCCTGATGGTCCTTCCTCACCCTGCCCTGCGCCCAAGTAACCACGGCATCCCCCAAGCCTGCCCGCTGACCTGTGAATTTGCACTGCTGGAGGAAGCCCTGGAGGAAGGGCGAGTCTGAGAAGAGCATCTGCTGCAGCCGCTCGGCACCCACGTGGAAGACAGAGTTGATGAGGAGCCGGCCAGAGAGATCAGGAAGCAGGGCAGCCAGGTCAGCTGTGAGGCAGAACAGGGCCTGGTGGGTATGGATCCTGCTGCTGCCCATTCCCAGACCTCTCAGGGTAGAGAGGAAGCCCACAGTGAGTGAGTGAGTGAGTGTGAGTGTGTCTGTGTTCCGTACTGGGGACTGAACCCAGAGCCTCTTCAATAAGTTACAGCTACACCCCCAGTCCTTTTTAAATGTTTTTGAGACTGGGTATTGCTAAGTCACTAAATTGCCCAGGTTAGGCCTGAACTTGCAGTCCTACTGCCTCAACCTCCCAGTGTAGACATTCCAGGCCTGCACCACCACACCCAACTCAGAAGACTCATCCTGCTGGACCTCACCAGGGTCCTTTCAGTGGAATCCTGTGACTACAGATCCTTTGCTCCCTGGTGCATCAGTGTCAGTGATTGGTTCAGGGGTAAGCTCATTCCCCAAGCTGGACCAATCAGAGCCAATGACAGAGTTTTTCCTTTACCCTGTGGGAAAAGCCTGGGGGTCAGGGCAGGGCTCTCTCTGCCCACATACAAAGGCTACCTAAAAAGTAGCTGGCACAGAGAAAATGAATATAACTGGCCCAAGCATTTTACATACACTAACTCATTTAACTCTCTTAACAACAACACTATGAGGTGTTGTTAAGACACCGGTAGGGGGCTGGGGATTTAGCTCAGCAGCACAGCGCCTGCCTGGCAAGCATGAGGTCGTGAGTTCGATTCCTGGTACCAGAAAACAAAACAAAACAAAACAAAAAGACACCAGCGGTACTATTACTTCTAACCCTACTTTTCAGATGAGGATAGTGAAGCTCAGCAAGATTAAATAATGCACGCACATCGCATAGGGAGGAGGCAATACAGCCAGGACTTAACTCTGGCAATTGATTTTCAGAGTCTGTGCTCTTACTCATCCTGCCACATAGCCTTCGAAGCAGTGTTCAAGACAGGCTTCTAGCAATATCATGGGAATGCCGCCCCTGCCCACACCCTGAAGTTTTGCTCTTCCAGTACTGGGGACTGAACCATGGATTTTTGCTCTGAGCTATGCCACCCTTGTTCTACTTTTTGCTTGGAGACTTGCCCTTGCTAAATCACTAAACTGTCCAGGCTGGGTTTAAATTTGACTCCTCCTGCCTCAGCCTACCACAGTGTGGGGATGATAGGCATGTGCTGCCAGGCCTGGCCAAACTGGGCGTTTTTAGACCCTTTGAACCAGTATGTGCCCCACTTGCTCGTCTTGTCTGAGTGAAGTCTGTCAGGTGTAAGCAAAGCCAGCAAATAAAACAGGGCCCACCTGCCTCACCTTCTTCCCCTGTGGATGAAGAAGAGTTACTGGTGTCCGTCAGCAGCTCCTCCCTGGGCAGCAGGTCCAAGGGCCCCAGGGAGGTGGGCCCTTCGGGTGGGGCGGGCTCTGCACCCAGGGGCTCTGCCACTGGGGTCACCGTCTGGCTGGAGGAGGCATCTAGCTGGTTGTCCGGCTGCTCCTCCTTGTCCTCCTCTGCCTGCAGAGAAAAGCTTGATCTACCTCACCCCACCTCCAGCCCAGCCAGAGCAGCCCCGGGGTCCACACTGGACTCCAGAGGCTGTGCAGCCTTCGGGGCAGCAGTGTGCACATCACATCTGAGCAGGGAGGACCCTGGGGCCACGTGGATGCAGGTCTGTCTTGGATGCCTGCACCATAAGCTTTCTTGCCCAACTTCACGCCTCTTGGTCTGTCCTTCAGCCTTCAGGGCTTTCTGTCCGTCCCCTTCCACCCGTTTCTCTTCCCCTGTGTGGTCCTGCTTTCTTCGTCCATCTTTCCATCCCCATCTGGCCCTCCTCTCCATCCACCTCCCCTCCCCCAGCTGGTCCCTCGCTCCCTGCCTGTCCTTGGCCTTCCTCTACCCATCTCCACCGGCACCCTCCTCTCCAGCACCTTCCCACTCACCACATCGCTGCTGGCCCGGGAAAGGTTGGGCGTAACTCGGCCGCGGCGGGACCCCACGGGGCTCGGCTCCTGGCTGTGCTCGGTGGCCCCTGAGGGGGTGATGTCACTCAGGGCGATCACATCTCCCACCTCCTTGGGGCTCCTGCAGGTGAGGGACGAAGTGGGTCCTCTGGATCCTCGAGACCCCCACACCCTCCTGGGCCTACCACTGTCCACCCAGCACTCCAGGAACTCTGCACACAGCCTCCCTCACTGTCTCCCCAATGCCTGGCCACCCTCCACCTCCAACTTACCCCAGACCATTCAGCTGCAGGGGGGAGACATAATCTTCATCCTCGCTGGTGAGGCCCAGCTCGGACCCATAGCACTGATGCACCAGGTGCCAGAGCTCGCGGGGACTCAGCGTCTGGGAAGGCAGGATGCGGTGTTGGCCTCACCTCATCTGGATGGAACCAGCCCTCCCCACCAGCCCTCCGCCTCAGCAGTTCCCCAGGCTTCCACAAGGGGGCGACATGTTCTCCTCCTCTCTGGCTGGGAATAGACAGGATGCAGCTATGGTCCCTCTAAGCCCTGGCTCTGGCCCTTCAGACTTCCAAAGTCCTTGCAATACTCCGGCCAAGTGAGGTGTCCATTCTTACAGAGAATGTGGAGCTCCAGGAAGGAGCTCAAGATCACACAAGTGACCTGAGGCAACTCAGCGATTCAAACGAGATAGGCTCGAGAGCTCTGTGTTCCCCCCGACCCCCCAACTCTTTCCCCAGGTGTCCTCAAGAGCCCTGGGCTTTCAGCTGCCCATGGCCAAGGTGGCTGAATGACAACAAGGGCGTTGACAGTGAAACAACAGTAATAGTAATAATGATGAGACAGCAGCCGTAGCTGTATGAACCAAGCTGGTTCTAGGAGTGAGGCGTTCCTCTAACCCCCTCACAGGTGCTGGCTTCTGGAAGGATGTGCTTGTGTGATATTATCTTCACTTTCAGGACAGTGGTACAGGAAGGTGCATGGTAACATGTCCGAGGTCATCTGACTGGGAAGTGGCAGAGCTGTGACTACGGGAGGCTTCAGGAAGTCTCGGAGCTAAGCCCGGGGACACCCAGCCTCAGAGGAGTGGTCATTACTGTGCATTTATGCTGGGCCTGGCTCTGGGAGCCATGAAATAGGCACGGTCCCCATTTCTGTGACTTGTCCCAGGTCACACATCTGAAAAATGATGGGGCCTGAACTGCACTTTAACCTTCCTCTGCCCCCCAGCTCCATGGAGATGTGGACTGCGTTGTCCCGCTCTCCGGCTCCTGAGTGGGACCCTGGGGAATCTGTGTTTCAGAGGCCACAGTGGGGCTGCCAGGGGTTGGGGTAAGAACCCCTGAGAAGGTAGAATGCGCACAACAGAGCCGGAGGAGCAGGCCTGGGTGCACCGAGGGGCTGCAGCCCGGCACCCATACGCCCGCCCTCCCTGCCAACAGAACGCTGGTTTTGTGTGGTGTGAAAATCTTCCCCAGCCCCAGGGACAAACTGTGATGGTGTACACTGACTTGTCCCCCCTTTACCAGAGATCAATAGGGTCAGGCCCAAGGACCCCCAGCTGCCCTGGAAGATCCTGCGGATGCAGCTGCAGGTGAAGAGAGTCAGGGTTTCCCCCTGCTCCCTGGGTTCCGGCACCCCCCACCAGCGCATGGTCACCTAGAGCCCACCCCCCAGGCCCCGCGCACACACACCTTCTCCAGCAGCGCGTTCTGCCAGAGGCGGAAGATGAGGAGGAAGCAGCGGTCACGGGCCCCAAAGGAGGTGAAGAAATGCTGTAGGCGAGGAGGTGAGAGGGGTGTGGGACCAGGACAGAGTGAGGGAGCGGCTTCCGCCTTCCCTCAGCTGTCCCTGCATCTCTGTCCCGAGGGATCCATTTATCACCCCTGTGTCCATTCCACAAAATATCCATCCCACGGCCGGCCCAGCGCTGGACGGTGCCTGGGTCACTGTGAGGAGTCCAGGGTAGAGGCGGACCCTTCTCCCGGCAGCCTCAGTCCCGAGCGGCTGGGGCTGAGATGGGGAAGCCCAGGGCATTTCCCTAGTCCTCATCACTGATCTGGAAGGACACGTCTACTCCGAAGGTTTCCCCTGCACTTCCCACTCCCTTCTGGGCCATGGGTGTGACAAGGCCATCTTGCAACCCACTGGACACGGGACAGAAGGACTCGGGGGAGAGGAGCTTCTGAGGGGAGGGGGCATCTGAGCTGCTGGACACACAGGCGACAAGGATTTCACTATCACTGCCACATCGCCAGGCAGCTGAAGGAGGGAACAGGAGGCTGCAGCAGGGGTCCGGGTAGAGCGGATGAGGCCCAGGCCACAGCAGGGGCTGGGAGACTCAAGGGCAGGTGACAGCCTGGAGAGAAGTTCAGGGCTCAGAAGAATCAGGCCCCTGCTCGGCTTTGCGGGAGGAAGAGGCAGCCTGTGGAGATCAGTGGCCACACGGCCCTGTCACCAGGTCCCCCAGCTCACCTTCTCACTCTCCGTACAGATCTGGATGGCATTGGGGATGAGCTTGGCCGTCTTTTCCTTCTTCAGACACGTCACTTCCTTCAACTGGATGGAAATCTGAGGACGGCAGGGAGGTCAGAGGCGCCAGGGCCCTGCCCCCGCCCCTCCCCTCCTCGCCCGCCCCAGAGCCTCACTGTGGTCTCCCAGCGGAAGATATTGCTGTAGAAGCAGATCCAGTTCTCAGAGAGATAGAGGCGGCCCTGGAGGAGGATCTCACGCTGCAGGGCGCAGGAGTAATCTGAGAGCCGCCAGGCGCGGGGAGAGACAGGCGGATACCCGAGTCACCCAGCCATCCTGGCAGACCACAGGCCAGCGGGGACAGTGGGGAGGGCAGAGATACGGACGGGTCAGGGGGCCGGGACTGGGCCTGGGGCGCGGGGACTCACCCACAATGAGGCGCTCCGCCTCGGGAAGTTTGCTGAACAGTTTCCGGAAGTCCTCATTGCGTTGTTTGTACGTGGGGCTTAGCATCTGGGGGTGGAGAAGTGAGAGCCTGGGTGGGGGTCCCACCCCAGCACAGCCCCGCACACTTTCCAGAGTCCCCCCAGGCTTCTCACTCAGCCCGACACTCTGAGGTTGCAGTACCCAGCCTCCTCCTAGCTTCTGTCGCCCACTGCCATTTACTGATCTCTTGTATCAGTCAGGCCCTGTGGCAAGTACCACCAGTGCCACCAACCCTTACTCAGTACACACTCCCACCATGTAAAGCAGGGCTGTTTCTTAAGGAGAGCGAGACAAGCCCAGAGACAGCAAGTGACTCACTCAAGGTCACACAGCACACAAACAGCAGCATCTATTGTGACGCTGGCTGCTAATCTCAGCACATACTCCTTGACTGCTGCAGCCTGGGCTCTTGGCCTGCAGACAGACCCCTCCCTCGCACCCCTCTAGCGAGTGCCCTCGCACAAATACTTACACTGTACCAGCTCTGCATCTTCTGCAAGAGAAAGAGAGGAGTCAGGAGGAGCCCCTGGGTCCCCTACACTCCCACCCCTCTCCCCACCCACCTGCCTGGGCTTGGACCAACCTTGCTGTTACGGATGAAGTTCCGGCTGCCCAGACTCTGGGTGCTGGGGGTCCCAGGCACCCCACCCTTCTCCAAGGAGCTGTCCGACCCCTTCTCCACCATGGTGCCTGTTTCGGGCTCAGGGGGTGGCCGGCTTGGGGGTAAGAGCTGCAGCCGCTTCCGGAGGGATGGGGAGCTGCTCGGCGAGCTCCGGCCAGAGTGGGGCGTGGTGCTAGGGCCAGGGAGAGGAAGGAGGCATGGAGCAGGCAGGCTGGGGTGGGGTCAGGCCTGGTTTTGAAGACCTACCCATGAGCCATCAAACCCCACTGACCCACTTACCCGCCTCGATCTACCCATCTACTCATCCAGTCTCATCCTCCCACTGAAACATCCAGCCACACGTGTATCCCTCCATCTATCCGGATCCCTCCATCTGTCCGGATCCCTCAATCTGTCCGGATCCCTCCATCTATCCGTGGCTCCATCCATCCATCCTTCACCCATCCACCCACCCTCCCATCTGCCCATCCAGCTGCCCACCCAGCCACCCCGCCTTGCACTGCGGCCCAGAGCAGATTCCTAACATTTCTGTGCCTCAGTGACTTCATCTGTAATCCTGGCAATGACAAGCACGTCCTCACCTTGCTTGGAGAGTTATACAATACAGGTAAAAGACTTCCTAACAGAACCCGGTACAGAGAAGGCTTGCAATAACATCTGATATTTTTTTTAACTTACTAATTCATTCATGCAACAAACATTTATTGAACAGCAACTTTCCACTCAGCTGCTCGAGCTAAAACCATACGCATGTCTCTTAATTTCTTATCCTCATGCCCTGTTTCTCACCCGTCCCAGCAGCAGCACTACCAAAATCTGTTTTTGCTACTGGGAATTGAACCCAGGGCCTTTTGCATTCAGCTATATTCCCAGCCCTTTTTAAATTTTGAAACAAGGTCTTGCTAAGTCACTAAGTTGTCCAGCCTGGGCTCAAACTCCTCCTGCATCAGCCTCCCAGAGTGCTGGGATTACAGGTGTGCACACTATTTCTTCTATGCCAATTCCCCCTGTTCCAGCCTCCACACCCTATCACCTGGGTGTCACAGCAGCCTCCTCCAGGCCCCTGCTGATCCTGTTCCCACCCCCGCACTGTTCTCACTGTAGTTGGTGCACACCTGAGTCAGGTCAGGGCCCTCCCAGCTCCGGGCCCTGCATCTCATCTGCAGGTAAAAGCAATATTCTCCCCTGGACCCCCAAGACCCTTGTGACCAGGTCCTGTCACCTCCCCTGGTTGTCCCAGCCATCCCCGCCTTTGTTCCCCAAGCTGTCCAACTTCATCCCCACACCCAGCCTCCGCACCCGGTTCCCTCCGCCTGCAATACCCATCCACAGCCCCAGCATAACGTTCCACTCTATTCACCTGGCACGCACCTCCTTGCGCAGTCTGAGGCCTGGACTCGGTGCCTCCCCGCCACCATTTGTTTTTTCAGTTTGTTTATTGCTGGCCTCAGACTGAACTGCAGTAGGTCTTGGTTGCCACGGTGTCCCTAGCACCCTACTTACAGGACATATAAATCTTAGTAAACATCAATGACTGGATGAACCGCCCTGCGCTGGCGGGAGCTGGGCAAGCGGAAACCATCAGGTAGTGCCGGTGCCCTGGGAGAGTTAACCTTCTGGCAGGAGGCAGATGTTAAACAAACAGAACCCTCAGGTGACTGTGAGATTACAAACTGTAATAAGGGCTGTGAGGCGTCGGGACCTTTAAAGGCACATTCATTGTTGACTCCTTATCAGGAACTATGTCAAGCTCTCCTCCTGATTAATTGTATTATTCCTCAAACAACTCTGTGGCCGAACCACTTGACAAAGGATACACAGCAGCTTTCTTTCAGAGTAGTATTACAATTCTGGGGGCACTGACGGATTCTGGCGTGCAGACAGGGGTGCACACAGTCCCCTCCACCAGGAGGGACTTTTCAAACTTGTCCGTCCTGCTTCCTAGTTTTAGCAATGCCTTTCCTCTGTCCAGGCTGCTTCTCTTGCCTTTATTTTCCTCCACACTGGGAAATGAACCCAGGACCTTCACGCTGAACTATAGTCCCAACACTTTTTATTTTTTTATTTTGAGACAGCGTTTTGCTAAGTTGCCCAGGCTGGGAATGAACTTATTCTCCTGCCTCAGCCTTCTAGAGCACCCTTGACCTTCTTATGCAACCTTAAGACTCTTGCTCATATGTTCCCTCCCTTCTGCGGGCCTCCATAACCCCCTGTGCAGCTCTCACGCTAGCTGTGACTTCTCTCATGGACCACTGTCTGATGACAGGTCATTTCCCCTACAGGTCTTCCCTGAGGGGAAGCCTTGAGCTGTCCTGGTGCCTGCTGGCTTCCTCAATCCTGCTCAGGGCAAGATGGAAGGAAAGCATTCACATAATAATAGTAAAGGGAATTAGTGGGATAAAATATACAAATAAGTAGGTTAAACAGATGTGGCCTGGGCCATTGCCACTCTCCTGGACCCAGTCTGCTCCTACTTGCAGCCACAGGGAGCCTGTGCCCCCAAGCTGGGCCAGGACTTCCCAGCCTCAGCCCCACACCGCCTGCAGGTAAAGCCTGGGGCCGGTCCCTCTTTGCCCACACTCTCTCTCCTCCAGCTCCTGCTTCGCTCTCCCCTCTGCCCTAAATACTTTCCTCCCACATGTCCAGGGGCGCCCTCTCCTCCCTCAGGGCTCTGCTCCACAGACATGTCTCAAAAGACACCAACCCCAGCTGGGTGTGGTGCCGCACGCCTGTAATCCCAGCACTGGGGAGGCTGAGGCGGAAGGATCACCGTGTTTGAAGCCAGCCTGGGCTACAATGTGAGTCCAAGGCCAGCCTGAACTGCACAGCAAAACCCTGTCTCGAAAAGACCAAACAAACAAACAAACCCCAGTGCTTGCTGTGAAATTCCACCACCCACCCCACCCGCCTTTCCTGCTTTTCCTTCCTCCTCCGCTCGTCCCTAGTCCCCTAGCAAGGGCCTGGTGCACAGCACAGCAGGTGCCCCGTGAACATTTGCTGCCGTGGCCCCGAGTGAATGGTCAACCCTCCCCTCTCCCAGAACTCGGACCAAACCCTCCCAGTGTGTGATCTGAGGGACTTGGACGTGAAGGCCTCAAGGCACTCCTCCCCGTGTGGCCTTGGGAGGAACTCTGCTGAGCCTCCAGGTCCTCTGCTGTATAGTGGGAATCGCAACAGTTCCCACCTCACAGGGCTGCCTGGAGAAGAAAGCAAGGACCAGCACATGCAGCCCAGCACAGAGACAGCACTGCGGTCCGACCGCTTTCCCTCTTAGCAGACTGAAACGCAGCGCCCAGCCCTGCTGTCATCTCAGCCCACTTTAGTCCAAAATGCCACCGGGACGCTGACAGGGACCTCATATGCACCTCACCAGTACCAGGAAACTCCAGCTCCGTGCTCTGTAAATACACCAAGCACCTGCCCTGTACCTGGCACTGCAGACACAATGAGTGCACCAGAATGCTGCCCAGAGAGAGCTGGATTCTAGCTGAGGACCCATGGAATCAGTACGAAAACAGGGAAATAATAATGGCCTTAGACACTGGCTACTGCTCCAGATCAGGCTGCAGCACGGCCTGGGAGCACGGGGCCAGGTGGACTAGAAAGTTATTTGAAATGCAGAATTCTGGGACCCACTTCCTACCACGGTGGGGAGGGGTGGCAAGAGATTCTGATGCATATTCAAGTGTGAAGACCACAAGATGCAGGACGGGGCGACAGGCTGTGGAGGTGGTTTCTTTAGCGAGTCTGTGAAGGCCCCACTGGGCCTGGCTCGCTTGAGCCAGGCAATGAGAACAAAGGACAGATTTGGCAAAGCTTGGGAGCAGACAGTTCTAGGGGCAGGAACGTCAAGTTCGGGGGCAGACTGAGCTTGGCAGGGAGAAGCGAGGTGGCCAGCAAGGCTGGGGCAGGGGAGGAGGGCACAGGCCCACGCTGCAGGCCGCGCTGGTCAGGTGTTTGGGCTTCACCACCCTTGGGTAGAGGAGAGTGGGGAAGGGCTCTGAGCTGGGGGTGACTTCTCACCTCTCGGGCCTGAAACACAGGCCTCCCCAACTCTCCTGAAGCACAGGTCATGGGTAGGGCTGCCTGAGGAGTTCAAACCCACAAACAGGCAGGGCCCACACCCCAGTTCTGGCTCCTGAGGGCAGGACAAAGAGGAAGTACTCAAAGGGCAGGGGCTGCCCAACCCCGGCTGCTGTGATACTGCGGGGGCGGAGCTCCAAGTGGCTGGAGGACCGTTACGGAGGTGGGGACCTGTAAAAGGAAGGGGTTTTTGCTACCACAGACTGTCTTGCCTCAAGCTTCCTGGGCCCCAGCTGGTGCAGAGCCACCTCTGCTCAGACAGAGGCAGATATATACACAGGTGTGCGTAAGAAGGAAACTCAGTGAGGGTCACAGTCGAAAGTCCCTCCCTCTCTCTCTCTCACACACACACACACAAGTAGTGTCATAAACATGTGACCGTCTCAGCCAGACTCTGAGAATAATTACCAATATACACAACTCCAGCACTACAAACGTGCCACCGGAACACACAAAGACCCAGAAAAGTTACACACGCAGTCACACACACAGAGCTGCAGCACAGCGCAGAAACCCACAGAGAATTACAGAAAGTCCCGGACAAACAGGATTTACACATAGAGCCACAGGAGTCTCAGGGAGGCATCGAAAGCAAAAAAGATTCACACAGTCACCAAAGAGAACCACACGGTGAAAAAACAGTCACAGGGAACCCCAGCTAAGTAACAAACACACACACACACATACACACACACATACATACACTCTCTCTCTCAAGGTAGATTAAGTCATGCAATCAGCACGCACATCCCAACAGTCCCTCTATCCTCATGGCGGTCACCATCTGGCAGGGAAGACAAAGCAAAGTGATAGTATCACCGTGGCAGAGAATCTCCACACTTACAACCACAAAAGACTCTGGAATAATGCAGCTCCAGGGCGCTGGGGACACACCCTGACATCACAGTGGCCAGGTTTTGAAATATCGCATAGGCGATGTTTTATAAACTGTTAACAGGGTGACATTACTCCTTCCAGAGAGTCAAGGTTCTACCCAGGGTCTCAGGAAAGAGGGTCCCAGGCCCACAGAGAGCCACAAGGGGTCTCTCTGTCTCCCTCTTCACACACACAAAGCCACAAAGAGTCTAAGCCACACACAGAAAGGCCCGGGCACATGCAACAATGTCACAATCGAATACACTCGGGAACTTTCACACAAAGCTAGAATCAGAAGTGAATGACAGACCCAACCACAGAGGATCACAGCCAACACAGGGACCCGTACCCAACAGTGGACACATGCTGGCAATGTGCACTTGCACACACAGGCCAATGAGAGTTTCAGAGGTAAACTACAGGTATACACCGGCACAGAGGGTCCTGTCCGACACACGTGCACACACTACAGTCACAACGGGACAAACACTGGCAGCTCAGTGACACGTGGAGCCACAGACGGAATTAATGGCAAATTACAAACACCAACAGCTAACAAGGACTATAGTTGCTGCACACGAGGAGCCCGGGGCACTCGTAAACACACCCCAGAAACACAATCGCACGTCGGTAATTTGTACTTGCACGAATGGAACGAGAAACACTAAGCATATACAACCAAAGGCAGATCACAGCAGCACGCAACGCGCCCCGAACGCGCACTACAGTCACAATGAGACACACACAGGTATCGCAGCACACAGAGCCACAGACGGAGTTCGTGGAAATTACACGCACCTACACCGCGGAAAAGGCTCCCAGCTGCTGCACACGTACTAGGAGCCCCAGACAGACCCACAGACGCGGCCGGGACAGGCTTCATAACCGGAAACACTCGCACACCGAGCGGAACAGGAGAGGAGCGCAGCTGGCGGCACACAGGACCCCGGGGGACCTCGGGCGCCGTCCTCCGGCCACGCAGAGGCCCCCACCCCCAGCAGCCGCGACCGCCGACGACGCTGGGAGGGGGCGCCGTCGGGAGGGGCTGCTCGG